CACCTTCAATAATTACATGCATTATGTCTAGTGGTATTTGACAATTTGCCATTAGAAAACCTTTAATCTTGTCAAGAACAGATCGGTAATTGATTCCATAGGTAACTGATGCCCTTGATGCACTTATTCTATCACTACTTTTAATTAAAAGGTAGTGTTCCTCATAATTCTCTGGTGTTCGCAATGTAACTTCTTCTTGTAAAGACTATTACAAGGAATGAAAATGACTTTGTCATACCATGGATACTGGAGCAGTGAAAGGGATTGGAAACGCCCAGTGATTGCAGTGGGGATGGGCGTTATGCGGTGAAGCCATCAAAGTTGAAATCATTTTTGTTATTTTTTAACCCTATGTTATCTCAGCTAAACCGTAATGATGAACTATAGTTGCAGCAGTGTGCATAGTCTTGACGCTTCATTGGAGCATCTTTCAGAGCTTCCTGAATACCAGGGAACTACAAGACACTGCACAAGAGTTTCTTCAAGTCTTCATTTCATTATCCATAAAATAAAGAAAAAGGAATCAACTCTAGTAGTGAAGCAATTTGCTGAGAAGTTTACAAAATCCCTATCATCAATAGCAGAGATTCTTGTAAAAGGTATGGGGAACAGTATTGCAACAAGAAGATCATATATGTGGAAACAATTCCATGAATTAACTGCTTCAGAAGACTATAAAAGAGATTGGATTAAGGTGTTGGAGGGTATTGGAATTAATGTTTTTGAAGTACCTTTAGCTATTGCAACACAGCACTGTGCACAAACAATGTAGCAAGATATTAGAGCTGGTGCCAACAAAAGACACCATAAACCCAGAAATAAAATTAAAACCGGATGAAGAAGAGGCAGTGAGATATACATCTGGATATATTGTATGTTCCTTAAGGAAAAAATTTGCAAAATGTTAAAGCCAAAATGTGGATCTTTTAACTTCAATGCTGGCCAATAAAGATGACATAGAAGATGATGATAACAACAACTTTTTGGCATACACAAAAAGGTGGACTGCTGTTGTAGATTGTGGTGGCCTATGCTATGTCAATTATGAGGCATTTTTGCTATTCTATTGGATAGAAGTGACAATAAGAAAATTTTTACGTAAAGATGGCATCAGTATTGGTGAAGCTACTGAAGCAATTTTGCAATCTGATGATGTCATTGGTTACTGGTCTATCATATGCCAAAGTGCTGCTACTGAAGACCAAGAGGATCAGACAGACAAGTTACTAAGTAGCATTGCAGAATTATGGATAACTATAAGAGGATATTCTTTTCATAGGCGGCTGCAGGATTTGACTACTAGTCGGGCATGGGTGTGGCACAGGAAATGGGTTGGGCACGAAGCGCGCTGCGATTTTGGCCACACCCTCTTTTACGCACCCTTTTTAGTGCAATTTTTTGGTAGCGAAGGTTATTGTAATAAAGTAGTGGGTGGTCTAGCTCCAACACTGACTTCTGTAGTGGTAATAGTATACTAGTAGTAGTATTAGTAGAGGAAGTAGAAGAATAGGGTGATGGAGAATGAGCAACAATTGACTGTACATCAACTGTAGCTGTATCAACCACAAGAGTAGACTGAGACTCATGATCATCAACTGATTCAGCAAGAGACTGACCTAAAGTAAGAATATGAGATAATCTGTATTATTGACTTCTATACTGTACTTACTAGGTTCACTTTGTAAACTGTTGTTCCTTTTTAGCAGGCTTGTTCACAAAGGACATAGTGAAGCTAGTCCAGGCTTTTAGACATTGCAACTGACAAGAAAAGAACACTGAAATAGCACTAAATAATGAAATGATTATGCTTTCTAGTGTTGCTGTGGTGGCCCACTGTGATTGGCACCAAAGTCTTACCACCTCCTCCTTTATTTAGTCTCTCTTCATCACCTTGTTATCAGCCTGCCATTTATGCATTCATAATTATAAGATTTTCATAAAAAATTGAAATTATAATTGCAATAACTGTTATAACTATTAATTAACCAACCATAGAATAACTATTAATTATGGTGATGTCACACTTCCGGTCAGAATTTTTGGTCGGGCATTGCCCCTAAATGCCCGACCCTGCAGCCGCCTATGATTCTTTTGCAGGAAATATTTTGGAACAGTACAAGCAAAGTATTAAAGAATCAACATCAAAGGCAAAATCATTACGAAAAAACTTGAAATTGAATAGCATTTAACACTGTATTTATATCACATACTTGATAACTTCATTTAATCACTTATATTTATTGATTTTGAATTATCACAGTCATTTGCTGCGTCATTGCTTTTTAGGAAGTGGCTCTTTACATTTTGAGAAATCAACATCTGCCTTTTTATTTCTGAGGGAATTTCCCCGCAAAGGTTGCAATGCCATTGACCCTTGCACCCTCAGACTTGGTGTTGCATTAAGTACATGATGTATTGTAGGATTGTCACATCCTCCACCCTGCTGCCTTAGTTTGCCAAAGAAAGACATCAAGGGTCTTGTGTAAGTCTTTCACTCAAAAGCAAATTTACTCCAGGAATAGTAAATATATAATTAACCAAACCAATAAATGATTTCACTATAAAGGACATCTTCTGTTAATTAATCATCAAGTCATTATTTGTTACCTGTTCTTTGAATTCCTTCAATAGTTTGCTGACTATATGACATCTTTTTCTTTTCTTCCTCTGAAAATCCATCCCTCTCCATAACACTCTTGCTCCAATCATCCAAATAGCCCATGAAATCAACTGCTAACCACTGTAACAACATCTATTATGTAAGTAGCTATACCTTTATTGCAACATACTTTCAACCTATCATCATTTGCTGTGCGATAAGGATAGCTATACTTCTTTAGCTTATGCTTTCCACCAGATATAGAAGTAACATTTAAACAATCAAAAAAATGGTCAAAATACTCCACAAATTTGGCCAATTTAGCATGATTATCTTCTTTCAAAGCGCAAGATACAGTTTCACTAAGCACCTATGACATAAAAATATGTACTACATGATGTGTCACACTTATGTAAGTTATACTTGGGATGCCAAATCCACTCTCAATTTAGAGTACGAATTCAAGTGGACATGTTCATATTTCAGTTTCACTTTGAATAAACCACCTCCTGCTGGTGACATCTGGCCCTTGTTCTTTTCATATAGCTCAATAATAGGTTGCCATTACACTATAAGGATACATATATAAAATTGGACCATATAGGTTCATTTGTGCTCACCCATAATTGCCTACTCTTCTTGTGCACATAAGAGTTTGCTAGGCAGTTTTGTGTTGTCTTCAGAAGGTGGGGGACATCAGAAAAGAAGACATGTCGATGGTCATCTGCAAAAAGGGTTTATAACTTTGTGCACTAAATCATCTTTGCTTTTTGAGTCAAGATGCATTTTAAAAAAGGAACGATTACATGAAGCCCCATCAGCTGTCAAAGCCAACACTCTGAATCCTGTCAATTCTAAGTTACAAATAACTTCCACACAATAGGATATAATATGCCAGCTGATAGAGATTGACATGGAAACTGAGCATAGGGAAACTTTAAGTTGATAAAAAGCCCTCGTACCATAAAAACTAGCATAGACATTGCAATGTTATTGTGAATTTGACATTCATCAAATTGATCAATAGCTGAATTCACATCACCCAGATCCATAAATCCTATAATGTTCCCTTGATGTTTATCATAAACTAAGCCGACTTTGATTTTCACTACTTTAAAAACAACACAAATGCGTTTGCCACATTTCCATTTGATCCAGCTTTGCTTCATTTGCTAATTGATTATTGACTTCACGTTAAATTCCCGATTTGGACTTAAAAACGTGTGTAATCACAAAGTGTGCACTCGGGCGGTAATGTGATAAAGCCAGTTTCCCTCATAGCTATGTAGGCTCAAGATGATTTGAGCTTTAAACTTAAGCACCATCTGATGATTAATGGATGCCATCTTAGAAGCCTTTTATCTTTTAATGATGCATTCTTTAACTGTTAAGTCCAAAATATTTATCTCAATGACCATTCCCGTAACTCATTGATATTTGGGCTAGCATCTATATCTTTCATAAACCCTAAGAGGTCTGATCCTAATTGTTCATCAATTTGAACACCTCTTTCCTGGATGAGGTCTGACAGCTTCTTTTCCAATGCTACTATTTTTTTGCGTCTTCATTGAAAGTTGTCTCCTTCTCTTCAATGTGCGCTCACTTCGCTTTGGTGTGGTCAGACATCTTAAATTGGAGTAACTGGAAGGCATTGTCATTTTAGCACTGTCCTTTTTCTTGGTGAAATTAGCAACACAGCTACGTAATGTATTTCGACACTTAATACATTTATTACACCTTTTTAGGTCTTTCAAAATGATAATTTCACAATTAACTGTGCAAACAGTACTTGAGAACATTTGTTCTTCAATATAAACTCCAGTACTGTGGTCGATAAATGAGACAATGGCATTCCCAGTATGTGACTTCATCACTCCTTTTTTAGCTTCCAGCATAGATACAAATTGTTTTTCTGGGTTACAAGGACAGATTTTATACTTTAAAAGTGTATCTGCTACACGCTTGAAAATAGACACATCTATTATATCCTGAACACTGGAAAAAGCAGGAAGCTTCCTAATATCAAACAGTTTTGACCCTACAAAGCATTGCCAAGTACAGTAACAATACAAGATAAGTGTGAACATCGGAGTGAAAGGATTAGCACCAAAAGTGAGGTTGCTGAATGGTGAAAATTTGCCAACAGGCAGTATCGAAGTGAAGAATGAGGGTCCTGAGTGACATCAATCCATGGCATGTCAGATATTACACTATCAATATCTTTTTTCATAGCTTCAAGAGATTTTGTAACTCCAACTAGAGAGAAGGGAGGTGCATTTGGACGACTATAAGGAGACTCAGAAATGATTTGCAACTGAGACAGGGTATGAAGAGCTACTATACCTGTACAATACAATACCAAATAATTAATCAATTTAGAATATAACACTTATTACTTAAATTGCTCATCCATGACACTAGCAATGCATGGTAAATCCAAAGAAGTTAAATACTCATCTTCAATGGGAGTATTAGTATTTTCTACTATAATGTATACTATTAAGTGATTAAATTAAATCTAATTTATATACCTAGTGAAATACATGGAGGAGTGAATGTAGGCCCTTTCATGACAATAGTGTCATAATCAGGAGGTGATGTAGAATCAGTGTCAATCACTGCAGTGTCATAGTCATAATCAGGAGGTGATGTAGAATTGGTGTCAATCACTGCAAAATCAGGAATAAATGATTTACATGTAAAATATTGATTTTACCTTGTTCTAAGGCGTTTTCACATACATGTACAAAAAATTTTATCAAAACTGCCAATCTGAGGATCTATCAATTTGGCAATATTATGTAGCCATTCACTTAGAGTTACTAACTTTTTTCTTTTCTTTTCTGAGTAAATGTTGTTCATGTTGGACCTGTTGCATGTAAAACACATTGCCCAATTATGTGAAAATTATACTTGTTTTGGTTTTCTTAAACGTCTTTCTTTCCTGGTTTTTCCTTCTTGTCAATTTCATTTTTCTACCCATGTCATGATCTATTCAAAGAAAAAAGCACACAAAACACTAGAACTATATGTACTGATAATAAAAATTAAGTGCTACTAGAAGTAAAAGATATACTTAGTATACTAGAGGTACACAAAGTTACCCTACTGTACAAACTACAAAATAGCTGTAAAGGAAATATGCTGCATAATTCACTTGAACTTAAACCATAAAACCATATACAAACATGTTCCTCAAAACATGATAATAATAACTAGTTTTGTAGAAGTACCTGGTAGGAAACAGAGGTACACAAACACTCACGACGCACAGGCTTTTAAAATATAGAAAAGATATACAATATCCAATGGGTGTTTTTGTTTGTTATGCCAAGTAACAATGAATCTGACACTTACAAAGTGATTTCAGAAGAAGTAAACAGAAACAAGACTTTTAGAGGAAAACAAAAGGCTAGTACACACAAAAAGAGAGCTAAAGTAACCACGCCCACTTCTGTTTGTAAAACGCCCATCCCCACTGCAATGATTAAGCGTTTCCAATTCCTTTCCCTGTTCCAGTATCTATGGTGATACTTTAAAGGCTATATCATCTTCATTAATAAAACAATCTCGGCATTTGCTGAAGGCAAAACCCACACCAACTTTGAACCCTCCTAATTGATGTGCAGCAAGGGTATCAGCTAAAGCCAGCAAAACACTGCCATGAAGTGTGGTTTCAATACCTTAAAAAGTCACAGATCTCCCTCTGCATTAATGACAATACAGGTAATTATAAGGAGATAAATTATGTGCAAATACAATACTTAATAATTTTGAAGGATTAAAATTGATTATGGTGAATTGCTAAATTTTTGATGATTGGAGGGCTTTAATTGGAGAAATAGCCATGGAGCATGTGCATAAATAGTTCAAAATGGTGGGTTTAATTTTGGCAAATGGCTATCAAAGGCCAAATTTCCCTTCAAAAAATCGCTAGTTAATACAGTATAATAATAACTGATCACTTACATCATGCAATGTATTAACATCTCTAATAATAGGAGCAAGGATGGGTTCAAATCGATACTTAGTTATACTTGATAATAGCACACAAGCAAGAAGTTGGATTGTTTTTTTGAGTGGAACGAAGTGATGGCCAAACATTACCAATTGTATAGTAAAACATCCCTGCAAACATTGTATACCATTATAATTATTATGTCAAATGTTTAACCTAGTTTTTGTAAACCACTGTGTGCTCCAAGAGGATTACAAACCTCAATTTCATCGAAATAAAGAATGATTTGTAGACTGTTTGGTTTCTCACAAAAGAGGTTATGCGATCTAAACAAATCACCATCACAGTAATCAGCAATGAAGCCATCTGTATGTGAGTGTGTCTGAACAATCTATTGTGATTTAT